GATTGTAGAAGGTAACGGAGAAGTTGTTCAGAAGAAAAAGGAAGTCAAAGGAACTTATGTGTCCATCCACAGCAGTGGTTTCAGAGACTTTCTACTGAAACCAGAAATTCTGCGCGCAATTGTTGATTGCGGTTTTGAACATCCATCGGAAGGTAAAAAAAATTTATTTTATAATAATATTGTTATGATGAATTCTACACTTTCAAATGATGATACCAATAGATAGGGACAACTGAATTATTTAATGATTGCAAATATCTATCCTGACAAATATAAAAAAAAATACGTGTCTGATATTTACTACTTTTATGGTGTATTTAAAGTTTTCATTTTTTATTACAGTTCAACATGAATGTATTCCACAAGCTGTACTAGGTATGGATATTTTATGTCAAGCAAAATCTGGTATGGGCAAAACAGCTGTATTTGTGTTGGCCACTTTGCAACAGCTTGAATTGACAGAAAAACAGGTCTATGTTTTAGTCATGTGTCATACTCGAGAACTCGCATTCCAAATCAGCAAAGAGTATGAGAGGTTCAGCAAATATATGCCTCAAGTTAAGGTAAGAAAAATTTGAGTTTAAACTAAACTTTTAAGTCATGAGGATTTCAAATGATGTTACATTTATCTTAGCCTATAATGATGACACTTATCTTACCACTACCCACTACTGATTGAATCCTTACAAATTACTGTTGCATATAAATTGCAATCTGAATGACACTTATTGATGTGTTGTATTGACTTTTTTGCAGGTCTCAGTGTTCTTTGGTGGTATGCCTATTCAAAAAGATGAGGAAGTTCTAAAAACTACCACACCCCATATTGTTGTTGGAACACCAGGACGGATCTTAGCACTTATCAAGAGTAAAAAGCTTAATTTGAAAAATTTAAAGCATTTTGTTCTTGATGAATGCGACAAAATGCTTGAACAGCTAGGTAAGTAATATATTTATGCAATATGAGTTTCAAACTATTATGTTGTATTTATAAATCATCTTAA